ATTGATTATAATCAGTTGAACAGTGATTTTCTTTAATTTAACGATATTAAAGAGATTAATTATTAGCAGAACCATTTTTCTTGTAATTTTTTTTAAGATTAATTCCATGATATAACCATTTGTTTTCTTTAAAACGGTAATGATGTATTGGTGACATTATTGGAGAAATTAAAACTGTTTGCACTTCATTAAAACTTCTCCAGAAGATTATACATTACTTCGTTATTACGCCAAGTTGCTCTTTATTGAATAAAAATTGAATGACAACAGATAGATTGGAAAGTCAATATTCCAGGAGAGAAATTATTTCAATATATGGAGTATCTTCTGTCATATTTTTACGTCAGGCAAAATAAAGTAAGATAAAATACGAGTACCTAATCGCTTATCAATCATTCTTTTATTTTGACATAAACGAATTTTATAAAACTATTTTATATCATCAATATCAATTCTTCATAATTTCATTCTTTTATTATATTTTATTAGGCACGTGTATACAAAAGACTTAGCATCTATCCTTCTTATTCTTAATAAAATCTGCTTCATTCTAATTTTATTCGCGTCATTCCCAAATATGAATTCGCTCTTTCCATTCGTACATACGTTAATTTAATATTGAACTTTCCGTTCCCTTTGCAACTTTAAATCTAATTCCCCAGTATAAAATTTATATCATTACACTATTGCATATGGATCGTGAATGTTTCCGGACGGATTTCAATGAGCGTAACATTTTCTACGAGGCGATGGAACATTTGCATACTCCTTCTAAAATATTCACAATGTGTTATGTTTATTTTGAGTTTATATAAAACCAAGAATTGAACGCACAGGAGGCGTCTCGAGAATAAGTGAAATTTACTTTACGTAGTCGCTCTGCAAATATAAATCGATACTTCAGACATGCGCGGTTACATCGCAATTCCAATTCCGCCAAATAGTTCCCTTTTTAAGGGGGGGGATGCGCAAGACACCTCTGTGCGATTTCGCGAGTTATCGGAGGATGAAATAAATAGATAGAGCTACTGTTATCCGTGAAAGTAATCGATTCTCGCATTGCCGTTGTTAAATGCAATCAGATGTCAAATGAGGCAATAAAATGAAGGACAAGAAAATACTTTTATTTCAATATGTAGAAAATAATACCAAGCATTGCCAAGGAATGAAATATCAATATTCCTCTCTCAGAATATATAATCTCAGTTATAAACTACATATTTACCGCAGTACTACTAAAAAAATATAATCCTAAAGCCCCTCTAAAGACCTAATTATTATTTTAAAATAAAAATTCTTTGTACGTGAAAAAACAGACGGGCCGAATCTTTTTGCGATCCGTCGCTGACGGTCGGCGATCAATTAAATCCAAATCTTGGAGGTTCTTATATCTTGAAGGAAGTAGTTCGCTGTCGCATTGACTAGCAGACTGATTATCGAACTAATGCCTCTTAGCGAAACGCCCGATTCGATTTTCTATTTACACATGATGGCTGGAGCTAATAGTGCTTCTCGTAGTCGTAGCTGTTGAAATGCGCCGGCGAGACGTACTTAACGATCGGCACCGGTTTCGGGTGTATCGCCGGTCCGACTTTCTTCACGACGGCATTGAATCCATTGTGATCGTCCGCCGTGTACTCGACGATGCGTACGCTTCCGTCGGGCTCGTTTACGCTGTACGAACCGTGGACGACGTCGCCGTCTCGCACCTCGTGCTGGGTCTTCACGTCGCCGGTATGGGGATCGTGGACGCCGTAATTGAAGGTGTATCTCGGATGCGACTGTAACAAGCAAAAAGCGGTGTTATTACAAAATTCGAATTTGCCACGAGCTAGCTGGCGATGTCGAGACTGACACAGAAGCTTCAGCAAACTCAACACGTGCATCACGTACATCACGAACTCATTCGTTATTTCGCGACATATCTTACACAGATTTCGATATATGTGTTCCGAGCAGCTTGCGAGTCGCTGCTGCTCACAGATGCAGAACAGATTCTGATTTATGCGGTCGTATCGATCCCGCATAAAATAGAATTAATTTTAACAAAATTAATTTTAATCTTAAAAAGATTAAAAAGTAGAAAGTAGTATACGTGAAACTTTAAAGATTAATTAATTTATGTTATTCTGATTTAATTTATCGAATGTCTTTTGCATCTTGTGTAAATTTGCTTCCGAAAGTAAAAAAAAAAGACTTAAAACTTTAGAAATCAATTAATATATATATATATATTTCAATTTAATTTATCGAACAATATGTGTCCTTTTGCATCTCGTTTAATAAATTGTAATGAAGCTACTAGAAATGCATAATTTCGCACTTTTGAAACGTGACGTTATATATCGTAATTATCCATACGTACTGTTTTCTCGTTATACGATATTACTCGAGAGCGCTACTTTTAGTGACAATTAACATCGCGAGAAAGCGACGACAATGAGCATTGCGGAAAGAGGCTCGAGGCAATAAGATACGACGAGGACAGAGGAAATACCTTCGTCACACAGACGTCGCTTTTCAGAGAGACAGGAATTTAAATTAACATATACACGCCTCAGGCGCGTGGAAACATCTCTTTCCGCTCATAAAACACGACGTCGCGGGACACGGTGAATCTTGACAATACTTTTCAAAAGGCAACCGTGCGGGAATTTATATTGAATGCTGCTAATAATGAAGTTAATAACCGAAACTGTGGAAATCGAAAGTTGTGGGAGCAATATCTCCTTGAAATCAGATATTCTGATATTTATTGTGAATATTCTAAAATTTGTTTCGCTTTTGTGGAAAAAAAGCTGCGGAGAGAGTTTCAAAGAATTTTTTACAAGGTTTCAAAAAAAATATGTTGAAACACAACATTGTGGAATATTTTTTTTATGTGCAAGAGAGGTGTAAACACAAGCTTGCGAAAAATAAGAAATAATGTAAGAAACAGACACTCACGTAATAGTCGTGATCCTGGTCGCTGTGATGTTTATAACCGTGCAACTCGTGGTCCAGAGGGGCGTCCACGTGCAACGGTGCTGCGGACACCGCGTGCACCGGAACCGCCACCGTCGGCAGAACTTTGTACGCGCTGGACCCTACGTATCCGTCGAGATCGCCGTAATCGCTGTAGGACAGGCCATGGCCGCCGTTATAACCGCTGAGAATCACCGCGTGGCTGCACGCTACCGCGGCGCAGAGGAGAGCGACCGTCTGAAAGCCACAATTCGCGATCGTAAATCTCTTCTGTGGGAAAACGATTGTTAATATGCGAAGTCGTGTCAAGGATTCGATAGCTTCTTTTAAGTTCCTCTACGGCGCGGAGTGTTTTCTTGTGTTTTCTTTCTCTTTCTTTTTCTTTTTTTTTTATTCCCTCGCCCAGCGCCACGCCTCGCGCAAGTTTAAAAGCAAGTCCGAAGAGCAGCGGCGGATAATCGATATATATATATATATATATATATATATATATATATATGTGTGTGTGTGTGTGTGTGTGTCTAGT